ACAAAACTTGATACTACAGGGGTTTTTTTTTTGGTTGGGGTTTGCACCCCAAACAAAATAATGCCCTTTTTTTTTTTTTTTTTTTTTTTTTTTTTTTTTCGGTCGGATGGTGCGGATAACGATTTGTCAGTGCGGATCGAATAGCGGATGGAATAAGGGACCAGCAAAGCAGATAGCAGCAAAGCAGCAAATCAACTATTCAAGGGACCAGCTTGAAAATCGTCAATTTCTAATTGCTAATTGCTAATTGCTAATTGCTAATTGTCAATTGTCATACATGACAAGTCAGGGCTTAAGAAGGACTAATGTGTCCCATTTAGCGCCAATTAATCCAATTAATTCATTCGATACCATTGGTTTTTGATCGATGCTAGACGAGAGACGAGAGACGAGACAACCACTCGTAAAAAAAATTTTCTTTTTCTTCTTTTTTTTTTTCTTTCTCTCGCTCACCGACTATTCATCATCGTCGATAATTTTTAATTTTCAATGCCAAAACAGGCGCAAATTGCACTTACATCTAAGTTCTGTCGCTTTCTTCTGCTCGCCGAGAATCCGAACGAAAGCCAGCTGATGATGCACAATATCGATGGTGCAGTGCTGGCAATGAGGGTTTTAAGAAGACGGCTGAATATTACACAAATTTCCGCGACTGGCGCATGGCTCGTGCCAGTAGAAATACAGAACGATGCGGTGCTATACGGTGCTATGCAGTGATGTGCTGGCCTACTTCAGCAACGAGACAACCCCTCGTCAAATGTCGTCACGGCGCATAAGATGCGCTCAATAGACTGTCGACAACATTTCAGGGTCCCCACATGGTCACGGACCGAGCACTGCGAACCTATTACGAATGCAGTATCAAAAGGGCTATCACGGCCGTCACGGTCATTACGACCAGCGCAGTTTCTCAGTGGACATGGGAAAAAGGACATGGAAGGAAGGTGGAGGGAAATTATCGAAATTATCAAGTAGCAGATGCAGCAGCGATCAGCCAGTAGTCTGTTAGAAGCAAGGCAGTATCCAGGCCGGTGGCCCACAATTAACCAATTATCTTCCAGTTCGTGGGCCTTATCCTGCAGGTTTTGGAGCGGGGTCGATAACAATCTGCACACCCATGAAACTTTTTCCTTGCTTTTCTCTTCTTTTTGCTGCGTTTTGCTGCGTTTTGCTGGCGTCGCTGATTTCTAACCCGGCGCCAATGTCCAGGGTGGTAGGTCAACGACGGCTAACGGCGTCGATGAAGTACGACAACCCTGGCATCGTGTCATCCTATCACTTCTTGTGCGTTGGCCAACCCCATCCATCAGTCTTGCCTATGGCACAACAATAAAACCCGAATGTCCCCTCTCTCTGCCCAACATCCATTCTTCACTCCTATTTTCCAGCCCAAAAGACCTAACATTTCTGCCCAACCCGAGACCCATCATCACCACTCTCATCCCGTGGCTTATTTTTTTGTTGCTATACCCGAGACATTTTCCACAGTCCCCCCCACAGGACAAATCCATCAATACCCCATCAGGCCGTGGTTTATTAACCCCTTAGGATCGACTGTTGCAACACCTCTCCGTCGACAGAGAAACTGTATCCAGTTCAGTTCAGTTCAGTCCAGTCCAGTTCAGTTGAGAAACCAGTCTCACTGCTGCTCCGTGTCCCCCAGTGTTTTGCCACAGGATTCATTAGGGATCATCCGGAGAGCCTGTTACTCGTTTCATCCCACAAGGATTCAATGTCAGCCATGGTTGCTTCCCGCCAGGACAACATGTCAGGCTTCAACTCATCTTTAGACATGGATGACGTCCACACTCCTGCGAGGTATATTGCATTGTTTTTCTTTCTTTTCTTATTGCCGGAGTATTGGGGTTTGCTTTCTTTTGTCCGAATAACCATGTTGCTCGAAAGTCATGTACGCGTTGTTTTTCATTCTCTTACCCGCAAGTGCTTCGCTTTGTGCTCTGCCAGGATATGACCCAGGATATTCCGTTTCCAGGACAGGACAGGACAGGACAATTCCGGGACAGGATCTTCATGGGAATGGAGCCAGATGGGATGCCGGAGGACAATCTTCCTGGGATTCAAACCGAGGACAATTTCTGAGGCTCTTCACGAGTAGCATAGTCAATACTTGTATTGTCTAAGCTTGACCACTCCACGTCTCTCAGATGGAACAGATATTATCAGAGATCAACTCTCATTAAACTTACGGTGAGTATCGCCCGCCAAGAACATTTGTGACAACAGACAACAACCCCAGGATAGACTTCCAAGGACGCCAGTGAAAAGTATTGCATTGTTACCAGACGCGGATAGGACCCCATCCCATGGACCAGGTGTGAATTGATCTTCGAGCTCTCCGGACTTTGCCTAGGGATTTTTGATACGGATCAATGGATTTTCTAGTCATACTTCACCTTCGGACACTTCAGCAACAACTCTGGTTCTTTACACGAGTGGACGCTCACGTTTCTGCTGCGTTGCTTCGCACGTTCAGTGGTAGTATCGGGCAACGCTTGACTTGTACTCTGGATCTCGGATTTGATCATAGGATAGACGACATTTCGACTTCTGCCGAGGATTATTTTTCTGGAATCCCCCTAAGGAGCAGTATTAGTTGCGATGTCGCTTTTGCCAGGACCCTAGAGCACACGGAACCTATTCGCCAATGGAACTACCAATACCCCGGATTCGCACATGTTGTGTTCTCGACTACAGTACGTATGCCATTGCATGCCGACTTGATCGGCTCTTGCATCTAATTGACCGCGTGTATGTGTAACTAACATCAAACTCTTCGTGCTCTAATAGGCACTTCGATCTGGAATTCCCTGGTTTTTATCTAGCCGGATTTTCCTTTATTGTCTTTTCCACATGCTTTTTCAGTTTACTGCTTAGGCCAATGTGTTTTTACGACTTGGATCATCCATCTCGGGATTGCTTTTTTTTCTGTCGTTTTCTCTGGGTCCTATTTTGGATTCTTAGTTTGCATACGACACTTCAGTCTGGTTTGTACACATTGCCCCTTGCTCAAGCCAAAGGTATTGAAAAACTAACCAATATCGCGACAACAGGAACAAAGTTGTACCATACTGAAAGTATTTCATCTGTACTTGATTTTGGGGCATATCTTCGTGATTTTCACCACCGGCTAGTGGAATACAGAACACTAACCTCAACCTCAGTGACTATAGCTCTTTTTCCCAAGGAAATATGCTTGCCAATTCCAGCGGATCTTTTCTTTATTCTCAGACGGGACATGCAGACCTCCATGGTTCAGTATGGGACACAACAGCTGAAGGAACACAGAACTTCAATGGAGAAGAGGATTTCCATTTTTCATATGGACAAGTTACTCCCAGACAGGACCAGAATGAAGCCGTGGAAGACATGACCAGCAAATGGATTGCCGCGGAGCAGGCCCAAGCTCCTACCACAGAACCCATGCGGAGGATTAGCTCGCGAGGCTCCTCTGGAAGCCACAAGAACAGAACAATCAAGCCCACTGCTCACAAGAGCCGGCCGAGACTACCTCAAGTCTCGCACATGTCGAATTTTGACATGACAGGTAATCCACAGATGGATGCATATCTCCTCCAGGATTCAGATACCCATTCAGTATCTTCTCAGATGTTCTACCCCACGCTTCCCATAAGTGTAGGCTTATCTGCGGATGGACTTCCATACTCTCCTGCTGTTCTTTCGTCGGGAATGGCGCAACAGCATATCGACCCAACGCAGATGCAGCTGAACTTCGAGGCTAGCCTTACGGGGAACTCGCCTGCTGCTACTACGTGGAGCTCTCTCAGCCCCGTTGAATCTCGAATTTCTACTCCCGGTCCCGGTGAGGATGCGTGGTCTGTTCCTATGGATGCTTCACCCACGCGAACTAATGACTCTTCGCCTATTATGGATGGCATTTCGCCAAGGTATGTTAAAAACAATGTGCTATGATATTTGGAAACACTCTGACGTAGAGAACGTCATTAGCCTCGATCGTCAGATGGGCTTGATGACCACAGAGGACCCCAATGGAGTTGTTTTGCCAGACGATATGTTTGCGTTGCCTCCTGCTTTTTCGCGCCGCTCCAGCGGTGACGGTGAGTCTTCTGCTCGGGACCACCCCTTGTACAAGAACGCCTACCCGCAAAACGACGGGCTATTCCACTGCCCATTTGAGGGTCAATCCAGTTGCAACCACAAGCCTGAAAAGCTCAAGTGCAACTACGAGTCAGTCCCCAATTGTCTTAGTCGCGCCTGCAAATCTAACCAAAGTATAGCAAATTTGTCGACTCGCACTTGAAGCCATACCGATGCAAGATTGAATCTTGCGAGAACGCCAGATTTTCCTCTACCGCATGTCTCCTCCGACATGAGCGCGAAGCTCATGCTATGCATGGCCATGGTGACAAGCCCTACCTCTGCACATACGATGGATGTGACCGTGCTGTTCCCGGAAATGGGTTCCCGCGCCAGTGGAACCTAAAGGACCATATGAGACGCGTCCACAATGATAATGGAAATTCTCTCAATGCCGTCAGTGGGTCTCCTCCGTCCGGACACGGCTCTTCCGCACATTCGGCCAAGGGCCGGAAGCGCAAGAGCAAGGATTCCGTAGACAGCACCAGCAGCCGCAAGCATGCTTCCAGATATGCCCAGGCAGCAGAGGCAGCTATGAGAGCCGCTGAGCAACCCATGGTAGATGAATGGTACCAACACCACAAGGCTCTACAGACATATCTCCAGGAATTTAGCGTCCCGGATGCTTTTGACTACCTGCAAAACATCTCTGAGGCCAGGGACCACTTGGCAGCCATGGGAAAGATCTCCCAGAAGTTGCTTTCATCCAACAAAGGGTCTAGCACCCAGGACTCTTACAGGCGATCTCACGGACACCACTCTCGCTAAGTGAAGAATGTATGTGATGATAATTTCCACGCTGTTTTGTCCAATAATAGCTAACCTAATATCTCGCAGCCACTAGTGAAACTTGCGCACCATGGATGTTTTTACAAGCCAAGGAATTTGCAAGTGCAGACTTCCAGTTTTACTTTTACTTCCGCTGGTCAGGAGACCGCGACGGAGCCTAGCCAGGCTCCACGGGGAATATGTGGAAAACCACGCTCTGAGCCAAATCCGGCATTGGGACCCCAGGGATTCCGGCGCTGCCTCTTATTGATAGTAGAGTTCCGGATTGAAACCTGAAACCAAGGATATGCCAAAGGATGGCGAGAGTTGATCCAGGATGTATATGCCTGAGAAGATGAGGATATGCCACGAGAGGGCATGGTGACCATTGCGGCTACGGTGAAGATCAAAGTAACCGTCGCCCCGGTGGTCAATCGTTGAAGATTTGTAGCCACAAGATGGCGATAGGGGATGCTGTTATTGGTACAAGTGACCTGAATAGATGGCACTTGATATTGTGCCGCGGGGTGTTCAATCTAGAATAGCGGAGCTATGTTTAGAAGTTTGATAGTTAGAGGTGTTTTTAGTTACCAGTCGAAGAACGACTACCGTCCATAGCCTTGATAAAAGAGTTCCCTTTGTATCCTTCCGTCTCGTGGATATTTTGAGGATTGTGGTTGTCCCTGGAGGAAGAATGAAGAGTGAAATGTAGACTGCTAAGCCCTTGAGGAATACCTAATCCACATAGGTGCTGGTTCTGCCTATCATAGCGCGAGAGTACCGAGTACCTGACTGTATATATATTCTTACCACAAAAACCCCGATGAAAACCCAATTTATGTTTTAACATAAATATGGATAGTTCTACAGGTATAATTCCCAGTGCTTGTTACGTAGCAAAGTATAATGTCACCTATGCCTCTTGCGATACTATACACATTGTGGAGGGGGGGTACTTAACCTATCCAGCAGGCATCTATATAAATCAGTGTTGATTCTCGATAACTCGATAACGAAAGTGGCATTCCAGGCTGCGGAGATGCGGAGATAGTTTTTGATAATATAGATAGCTCGTACGATGTAAGTCTATTAATAGGCGTCGATGTGGCTCGTAAGAAGGGGAATATGGGATGGTACGGAAGGAGAGCAGAAGCGGGAACCCGTGCGGTCTCGCAGGTGTGACGCAGCACATAGTGATAGGCAGAGCTTGGAGACTACCTACGTTTAGCGATCCGAGACGTATCACGCCAAAGTGCGTTGTGAGGTCTTTGTGCTTGTGAACTGGTATGAAGACGATCACATCTTTGGGTTTGTGGTCTCTTGCTGGCGAAGCCAACTATAGTTACGGGCAATCTATAAGCGATATGGGTCTATGAGATGTCTGTCGTACCATAGGTAACGGGTGTCACTCTTAAGCCACCCCGTTGCGCCTGTTTACACCAAGGGGCCTCGGATATAACCCCAGTTACAAGAGACCGGGTTCTTGCCTTGATTGCATAAGGCCTAAAAACGTATGAGTCAACATCATAGTTGGGTGGGTAGAATACCGATCTCATGTTACAAATAATCTTGTCATTATCCTATGATTAAAAAGCTCATATTGAGACCTAGTGAGTTACAGATATAAGCCATGGGAATGGTCTTCGATTAGATATTTTGCTTCTTCTAACAACCCGAAGATCGATCCGACCACAAGATAAAATGGATCAACCTTCGAAAATCCCCAGGTTATAGATGAGACGTCCGGAATAGATAGTCTTATCAGTGTATTTGGCTACTGGTCTCTGCAACTCAAGCCTAGAGTTCCTCCCGAAGCAGCGAAGTTGTTTCCATGCTTTCTGGGTCCACCTCGTGATGAGATAAAAAAGGGGTACATAGTGCTGATGACACTAGATACTTGGATTTGGAGTCTGGGCACTTCATCTAGCATAAGGATCTTTAGAAGACCTAGTGGTTCACAAATGCAGTAAGGACGTTATGCTTATGTGATTTTGCTCTACCAGACATGAGTCGAGATTACGAGATTATCACGGCGATGAATCGATGAATGATCCTAATTATCGATTTGCTCAAGACGCAGACCCTATGGCGTGTGCTTGTCGTAGTTGTTCATATGCCCATAGCATTATCTAAGCCGTGGGGATGGAGGATTTCACCTAACCCTGATCCTCCGGCCGCTGATCGCCGAGGTGGGTGTAGTATGACGACCGTGGAGATATATTGGCCACAAGAGAGTCATGTAAAGCACGTTGTAGAAAATCTGCCTTCACTAATGGCCCCGCCAATAGCTGCAAGAGAGGAGAGCAGCAACAGGACTCCTACCAGATCCAACAGCTGTTTCACGCACCGAATCCTTCTAGGTTAGGGTGGAGTGAGTTGTTTGCAGAACCGAGTCCCTAACCCCTAGAACACACACCCTGAAACCCTACTTACTACGCTGCAATGCATACTACCTAGGTTAAGCATTTACAGCCTTCCTTTCTATGAACATGCATAGGACATGTGCCTGAGGTACATACCAACATGGGTCACTTGACATATGCGGTTTCTTTAAGGTTGCACATCGTTAGATCCCACGCGAAGAGAGCGGTCAAATGTGATTTGTTTCTGTTTCTCTAAGATAGCATCCTTACCTACCTAATCAAGCCGGCCTCTCGTGTCTACCCTTAAACCTGGAAAAAGGGGGAAAGCCTAATCCAGTCTCGGTCTAAATGTTCTCATTGAGTCTCGATTAATAGAAGCAAGTACTTCCATAATAGCAACCCGCGAGTCTATGCCAACATAGTTAAGCAGTCGCCCTTGTCCAAAACTGCGTGTATACCTCTAAGAGCTTGAAACTGATCTGAACAACGATGGGAATTCCAGCCTAATACCCCCAAATGAACGAATCAAGACCCACGCAATGCCCTGGTGCCCATTAAACGCCGTTGTTAATGATATTGGAAATAGTCTGCATGCCGCGTAACTGTCAGTATGGATCAAGCCAGTTCGGCGCGGTTAGGTATCTGCTGGAGAAGCCTTAGGTCATTGCCCTCTTGATACATGATGAATATCCAATCACTCGGTAGTAGGTTGCTTGGCGATATGTCGGCCCTGTAATAGCTACGAGGGGGTATTTGTGGTGGGCGGTAAGATGTACCCAACTCCGCTTCAGGTTCCGATTGCATCTCGAGATCGGCATATCGGGGAGGTATAATAGGCGGCAATGGTTTATTGAGGTTGACATGTTGATGGCTAGCCGGTAACGGTGCTAAGTGCCGTAGAAGAAAAGACGAGGACGGCGAGGACTGGTCAATAAAGGTCGTAAAAGACGGCGAATGCGTCAGTGGTGTTCTATCCCTGACGGTCATAGAACTACGTTGTCGTAAAGACTTTAATATCCCTGGGAGATAGGTTGCGAAAAATGGCTTCATGGCTGGAATAGAGGCACATATCTTGTAGCCATATTAGCGGGTCCTTAAATATGTAGACGATACCAAGTCGCATACTATACCGAGATTCAATTCAATAATACTAGTAAGCCAGACATCCCTGATACTCTTGATATCATAAGAATGAAAAATCAAAATCCACGCATAGTAGCTTCTCACAATTCCCGCGGAACTTGCGAGAATACCGAGCCCGAATAGGAAGATAACTATACCGACTTGTCTGATAGGCAAGTTTAACCTAAGGGCTACCCAGATGGGTAGGAGTACGACGACCCAGTCGGTGATGGTATTGATGATACTAGCTGCGAGTATGTGGGCAGCCCAATCGATACAATGCTGTGGCTGGATCGAATGATCCCAATAGGCTGATAGAGGTCTAATAGATCAGGTAGTTAGTTAGATACAAACATCAGGTTATTCCCTGTGCACTAGTAAACGTACATGCATTGGAGAAAGCTGACAAAGATGAAGATGAAGCAATCGATGCCAATAGTCCCTATTGATATCAATACGGCAATAGTCACATTGCGACCACTCGCCGCAGTTGTGAGCCGATAGAGCAGGATGAGTATCGATAATTTGGTTAAGCTAGTTGCTAATTCGAACAGGATTTGGTTGGCGAAACTAGTATGTATTCAGCATACACCCACGTTTATTAGATTGGAAACGAAGGAGGGTTTACATTATTTGTAGGCTATAGGTAGAGAGATTTGGTTCCCTGCCCCTGTTGTGATGGTCCCACCGAAGGTTCTTCTCAGTAATAATGCCGACTAAAGTGTATGCGGTGGAAGGAAACTACCGAGTGTTAGTGAGTGTAATGGACTATAGTATAACTAAAGCCCAGACATACATATGCGAGTATAATGAAGATATCGTCAAGCCCGAATCCCCGGGTTAACCACTTGCGGGTATATAAACGAATGGTTAAAGTAATCGTGACCACACTGGCCAGTATGATGCTAGCGGTCATTCCAAGGTGTCCTTTCGTCTCTGGTGCATCATGACCTTGTGTTGAACGGCTAATGAGAACCGTGATGGGAGCTAGTTGCATCTTGTATTTGTACTCTTTGGTTCGGGCCACAGGATACCTCGAGAAATGTGTTCATAAAAAGCTTCCACGGTGACGTACACCACCCTCGTGGGGGATAGGTAACCTTGACCAAGAAAGGTCCGAGCCGCCTTCAGTCGACCGACTTCAGGATGAAGATACAAGAATCTTATGATGTCCAGCTTATAAATGCAGGGAATCCGAGCCTAATACGTTGCATTACGTGGGTGAATATCGTTTGGGTCAGTACCCGGGCCAAGAAGATGTTAGGACAACATATATGATCCGTTATTTCGAATGATGTTGGTCATTCCACGACCTAGACATAAGAGAAGACGTCGATATGAACTTACTAAATGTAGATGAATAGTTGTTATTGTTAAGTTTTGATATTGACACGTACCTACGGGTGAGATCCTCGATGACGATAAGGGCCATCGGAACACCCCAGACGTTTCTTCCACTTGGAAACGGTCCGAGGCAGTTGTGAGTATTCATACGTTTCCCATATTGACCGATAGATGGCTTCTGCCCCCACCACACGGGGGCCGAAAAATACCATATGGGGAGAGGAGACAGCGTAAAGAGCCTGCATACGGATAGATGGATTCAGGTCACTTATGGCTTGCATGCCGAGACCCATGTCAGCTAAAGGGGCGCTTATTAAGTATCAAGATCAGTAAACTGGCGATAGAACATGGCAAATCTTTGATTTAATAGTCGAAATCTTAACTCGTGGGTGATATCAGTTTCACATAGCTTCGTCCATGTATTCGTAGATAAGATCTATCTATATCAACTATACACTTCACGGAACTCGAGGATATGTTGAAAGGAGTGCGTAATGCACATATAATGACAGATAACAGGTAGGGACGCCGTCGACAAGAGAGCCGCGCGGATGCGTTTAGACTCGGCTCTCCCGTTTAGGTTGTGAGATGGTATCGCTCACACCTTTACTTACATAATATTAACAGGATTGGTCCATTCGGGATCTCATACGATTCAACTGTAGACCGGAGCTGAGTGGCGTTTGGTAAGGCATTCAGTCCATAATCCCCAAAAGCGCGCATATCGTGCGGGAGGGAATTTGATTGTAGGATGGACGTTGCACCGCAGGAGGGAGGGTTGCAGAATTTCACGTCACCATTATCCCACCCCTTAGATCGATAGCTGTTAACCAACAGATCTTCGGTTGGTAGAACACCTGTAAGTGATAGAGCTCAAACTTTCACCAGTTCGGTATTTTGTATCAGAGGCCTGTCGGATAATGGACTTTCGAGTCATACAAGAAGTAACACGGACTTCTAATATCTGTGCAGGATCACATTGACAGATCTATGCCTAGACTGTCCTTGAACAGTTGAGCTGCGGTAAAGTAAGAAAGCTGAAAGCGGTTGGTCGAACTGGTTCTAATAGGTGCGAGCCACAGCTAGGATATGAGGTCGGTCGAGTTCACGGGCCCTGGGCGAATAGCCATAAGGCCAGTCATAAGGCTTAGATGACGATTACGATAGACCCAGATCAAGCACTACCGTCGATCCGAAAACGTATTGAAACGAAATGGTACAGACCCCGTACCAACGTAAGACCAGCATTGCAATACCCAGCAATACGCCGTAGATGAAGTTGGCGCATACGTATTCATGTTTCATAAGAGCTAACAATGGCGTTCTCATGGTTGTCTAAGCCCAAAGCCTTCATGGCGTAGGAGTACGAATCCTACAACTCGATTGGCCTTTCAAACAGCGCCTCTCGACTACAGAATTCAGTACTGCGTAGGGCCTGAAGATAGACTTGACTTCCTGGGCTGAAAATGTAGGGTTGCTGTTGTATTACCATAGGTATGTACGATATGTAGCAGGTGACGGGACTTCGGAATCATTTCGCAAGCTCTTCCCGAGAATGATCTCCCCAAGAATGAGGTTGAGAAGCGAATTTTTGTATTTTTGTATACAACATGCAAGTGGGCAGGGATAATTCAATCAACCGTGTTTAAAGTTATGTACCTACCTAGGTATGCACGAAATGCGATTACATACCGATATCTGACTAGAGAGGTAGGTACGTTATTGTATTAGTGCTTCGGACTTAACACACTCCACTTTTATTCAGTGGATAGCCCACAAAAGTTCACAAAATCGCAAAATAAATTTAAATCCTCCTACTTTTGCAGTTTCGTACCAGCGTCGCTTTTCTGATTTTCAAAATACCAACCTACGCAGTAATCCTCACCATTAGAGCCCCATCTATTGGAAGACTGTCATCATGTCGAAAATCACAGTCGGTACGTCAATTGTAAATTAATTATACATTATTCCAAGACAAATGGGGATAATATACTGACACTTCTACCCCGCTACAGCCGGAGTGCGTAACAACGTCAGCGAACTGCTTGACTACTCTCTCAACACCAAGAAGCGCAACTTCCTCGAGACCGTCGAACTCCAGATCGGCCTCAAGAACTATGATCCTCAGCGTGACAAGCGTTTCTCTGGCACCATCAAGCTGCCTGCCATCCCTCGCCCGAACATGAGCATCTGGTATTACATTCCTTGTCTATCGTCAAATCAACACTGGCTTACACGTGGGATATAGCATCTTGGGTGACCAGCACGATCTTGACCGTGCCAAGCACGGCGGTGTCGACGCCATGTCTGCTGATGACTTGAAGAAGCTCAACAAGAACAAGAAGCTTATCAAGAAGCTCGCTCGCAAGTACGATGCTTTCGTCGCTTCTGAGGCTTTGATCAAGCAGATTCCTCGTCTCTTGGGTCCTGGTCTGTCCAAGGGTAAGTGAAAATCCGTATATCACTCGACAGAGATTAAAGCTAACCGTTCAATTTCAGCTGGTAAATTCCCTACTCCTGTCTCCCACGCCGATGATCTCACTGGCAAGATCAACGAAGTCAAGTCCACGATCAAGTTCCAGCTCAAGAAGGTTCTCTGCATGGGTGTCGCCGTCGGAAACGTCGGCATGACCCAGGATGAGCTAGTCGGCAACATCATGTTGGCTATCAACTACCTTGTTTCGTTGCTGAAGAAGGGCTGGCAGAACGTCGGTAGCTTGACCATCAAGGCTACCATGTCTCCCCCTAAGCGCCTTTACTAGACGCTGTTTCGGCCAAGTCACTGGAGGACGTAGTACTAGTAGCGCTAGCACTTGGGATTGTAGTCACAGCGCTCAGATAGGGCAAATAAACTAAACCTCCCAGACTAGATTTCTGTTCCACGATCGTAATAAGTTTCCCATGCATCTCGTGATCCCGTATGTAGTCCTGGGTCAACTAGGTCACGGTGGGAAAGGTCTCATTCGAGCCAATTCGCAGAAGAATCCTCGAAACCCAGTCTAGTTTCCACGCCTGAACATTCACTTGTGCTTGACAAGCTGTCCACTTGCAAATCTTTACAGTGGCCTTCTTCTAGGCTATTTCTACAGCAATTCCTAGCCAACTACAATGATTTATTTTCAATTCAAGTACCCAGCCCACAAGCCATTTATTGTGTATTGTGTAGAATCGGAAATCGAACATAAAACTAAACATCTCGACACAAAATGTAGGAAACACCCCACAGTCGCGAACCAGGAAGAGCTGGCGTCGGCGGCTGATTAGGAAGAGCGTTTTCAAGTTGATAAAGGAGGCCGGGAACGGAAGGAAACCCATAGAGAATAAGATGATAACCCTCAGCAAGCCACCGTAGTGGAGCCTCCATCTGAATTAAATAAACATTTGACGATGTAGATTTAACCCATACTGATGATGAGGAAAGGAAAAGAAGAAATTTTTCAAAGGTGAGGCGCGCAGAGAAACTTTTAAAGGCCTTTTTCGAAGTGGGGCTTACCGTCGGCGCCCACCCAACCACTGGGTGGACCCACTAAGTTTGCAAAGATTACACGTGACATGATACACTACTATAGGCTAGGTATGTATCCAAGTACTGTTTCGTTCTACATACAGGCGCGAAAGACATTCCCCCACCTTTCCCTCCTTAAAGATATAACCTCAGTTTAATCACTTCTATTACACCGAACGGAACTTCAATAGGTACCTAAGGTAAGTATTAGTTCAAAGGCCTTTATATTTACCAACATCTGTAGGTATACAGCCTATAAGTTCGTTAAATAGCTGACTTGCTGTACCTAGTTAGTCTCTAACTGCATGTGTCTATTGCCCTTCCGCTCTGCTGCAAGTTTAGATGATCTATGTCTAGTTCTCCATTCTACCTATGAATCACTTTGCATGCCGTATCAAGGACCCAGAGTCCAAATCAATACCTCGTCTCCTATAACCAGACACCTCGTATCTTATAAAAGGGCAACACTATCCCTTGTAGCTGCTATGAGATCGCTTAGTTATATCTTGGGTACTGCGTCTAGGTAGCCGTTTAGAACCGCTTGGATCAGCTGGTTAGCAATAGCTGTCTGCGGAGGTAATCTTAAAGCTCCCTCCTTGTATCCAGCCGGGGCTGATTCTCCTAAACCGCTAACGCCGGTCGCTATGCCTTCTCTTACTTCATCGAAGGAGAACCATTTGGCGTCGGTCAATTCTTCGTCGTGGCCAAGATGGATCGTCTCGCCTCCAGGAGCAGCCTGGCCGATCGCACCGATCATCAAGTTGGCGGGATAAGGCCACGGCTGCGAACTATGAATCACAACACGTCCTACCGTCACGCCGCTCTCCTCCCAAGTCTCACGACGGACCGCCTCCTCGATGGACTCGCCCGGCTCGAGGAACCCTGCGAGTGTACTGAACCAAAACGGAGGAAACCGCTTGTTTCGACCAAGAAGCATTTTGGTGCCGTCAGCCGAAACTACAGCCATAATGACGGTAGGATCTGTCCGCGGGAAACAGAGATTGCTTATGCCATGCCGAGTGGGGCAGTCGGCTCTCTCCTTTGGTGCACCGCCTTCAGAAACACCTGCTAGATCTGTCGGTGGACAGGACCGTTTCCAGCCGGCATTGATAGACGTAGTTGGCTGACCACAGCCACCACAGAACGGGTTCCGGCTATTCCAGTCAAGCAAAGCACGGGCTTCTGCGAATATCGCCGCTACTTCATTGTGAGCACATTATCGTCGCAGAATATAATTACGCTAGTACGCACCATCTGGGGCATTTAAAGTTAGAAGCCTCCTCCCATCGATGAAAGAGACACCGTTGGCCTTAGCAATATCCACGATACTCTTAGCTTTGGCTTCGATGGTACCCTTAGGCGTGACATCGACAGCGAAGTACGGTTTGCCTTTGTAATCATGATACTGGAAGTCGGGCTTCCTTTCATCGATACCGAGGAAGAGGACGACAGGCTGTGTAATAGCCGAGTTGAAGTCTTTAAGCTGTTCCTGCTCAGACTCTTTGAACGGTTCCTCTCCCGTCAGCGGCACTACTACATCTCTAGTAACATAGGATAAATTTGCGTGGTCTTTAGCAAGCGGCGATAAGTTATCTAGTAGTAAAAATGCCGCGCTAGGATGAGCGAAGGCAGCGCGCAAAAAGCCATAATCGGTCCTGAGAAATGAGATTCGGTTCAATGGGCTACCGCTAAAGTAGTTGGCGACCTCGCGGCCGAATTTCCTCGACAACATCGAGTCGTCTTCAGCAAGAACCGGGAGATCCGGAGTCGGGTGCCCCATTACGGTTTAATGTTTCTTATTGCGTTAAGAGAGTTGCTAGTTTCAGGTTGGAGTCGAATAAACTGAGGTGGGGTTGGATTGGGCTCTTAAACGAAGCCAGCTGAATTATGTACTTAAAGACTACCTAGGAAAATAATCATAGATATTGACAAGAAATAATGCAAGGACGACGCTAAACTTTTAAGAAATAACTACATATATAATAACGGGTCGGATCGGATTTTGGAGAGTTAGTAACTATTAAGTATTACATGTTATTTTCTATGCGGGATGTGTGTCTTAGTTTTCTGTTGATTGGTAATACAGAGTTGTTCTTTCTGATATGTACCATAAAAGACCCCCGATTACATAGTATAGTGGGGTTCTTTCACGATGGCGATAGCTCGGCATGGATGAGTAATTTGGTCTCATTCGCCGATACCGATGGCCGGCGTTTTGCGGGAAAAGTATGTTACCCATTTCTGCCATTGGCTCCGAGTTCTCAGCTACATATGTATGTACCTAAGGTACATACAAAAGTAGTAAAGTGATTTTCAAAAGCCTAAAGTAAATATATCATCAGCTTATATATTTCCTACTTAATTGTTTGTTAATCATGAGATATGAAATAAATGCTTTAAGCTTAAAGGTATTAACTAATTAAATATAAGTCCGTGCTGAGAATTATAGTACGTAAAGAAACTATCGACCGGGTTCCAATCTCGAATCTTAAAATCTTGTTTACGGGGAAGTTCTTGTTTGAGATCCGGGACAACATTAGGTGTGTAACGGTATAGCCCTATCGGCGTTGAAATTTAAAAGCGTTCAGCATCCTCGCAGGTGCATGCATGTGGGGTAAGGTTTGTGCGTCATCAGAGCAGCAGCTAGCTTGGAAACAGAAACTTTTCTTGTCTTGTTCCGGGGGCCGCTATGGCGCAACGTCCCATTTCCGTCAATATTGAAAATTCCTTTCGCGAACAACTTCTTTCTGGCCGTAACTTGTAATTGTATTCATAATTCTTCATAATTCATAATTGAATATCATACTTTACTCTCCAAGCTTACGCGTGCTAACCTAGTATATTATCTTCATTGACACCTTTTCTACGTGCCATTGGAGCTTTGGTTACCCCTAACGCCGGTCTTATTACACAGCTATTGTCCCCTGAACTTGCGCTACAGATGGCTCCTCCTACGGGGCCTCTGAACCTCGATGTCGAAGCGATATCAGGTATCTGCGGGTGAGCAGAGCATTTCATATTAAATTATATAAACTGGCTTTTCTCTCCATGCTGACATCTCGTGGCTTTTCGTAGCTCTATCTCGATTGCGGCATGGGTCGTGGTCTTCTCCCCCCAGATCATAGAAAATTTCCGACGAGGTTCCACCGATGGATTGTCCGTTCCCTTTATCATCCTCTGGCTGCTTGGTGATGTCTTCAATATACTCGGTGCCATACTTCAAGGCGTACTACCGACAATGCTCATCCTAGCAATTTACTACACGATAGCCGATTTCGTTCTTTTAGCGCAATGCTTCTATTACAAGGGTTTTACGTGGAAGGACGAAATCCCGTCATCCCAGCCGAAACCGCCGAACGTCGTAGCTGTCGGTGAGCCTACTGAGAGAACAGGATTGTTAAATGGCCACTTTAATGAAAGGGAAAGAAGAGGAAGCGGGTGGTCTCATCTGAATCCGACTGTGCCAATGGTGTCGGAGGCTCCGATCACGCCCCCTCCCCCGCCTACGAGACTACAGTCAGTAATATGGAATTTGGTGGCTGTCCTCATGGTCTGCGTAGCGGGCGTGGTTGGATGGCTATCGAGCAGACAGTATTCAAATAGTCAACCCGATTCATCCGCGGACGAGGGTCTCCCTTCATTCGATCTTTGGGGCCAGATCTTCGGTTGGCTATGTGCTCTTCTCTACCTTGGGTCGAGACTCCCTCAATTGCTGCTTAATTGGCGTCGCAAATCAACCGATGGTGTAAGCATCCTATTCTTCCTCTTCGCTTGCCTGGGAAATTTGACCTATGTCCTTTCGATATTCGCCTACGAGCCTCACTGTGCCAAATCACAATGCCAGCCTGGCGAGGTAGAGCGGATATATGGGAGATACATACTTGTCAACTCCAGTTGGTTAGCTGGTAGCTTAGGGACGTTGCTCTTAGACCTGGGCATATTCGCTCAGTTTTTCATCTACAGTAAGGATGAGTTAGCGGATGAAGAAGAGGCAATCGAAGACGATGATGAAGATCCCATTGCTGACGAACAGCAACTCGATGATCAACCGCTCCTGCAGCGAACTGGTTCTGGCCTTCCATATATTCCATAAATTGGAGCAAAAACAGCACTCCGTACTAATGATTGCATTCATCGACTTACAAAATAGACTTGGTACTGGAACGGAAAATGGGCAATGGAGTTCGGGGTTACATTTATTCTTTCTTCATCTAAAAGAAAATTTACAAGTGTGTTGCTAGGCTACTAACAAGACGTTTCATTCTTAATACCGAATAGGGATATTTAGAACGGTGTGCTATATTATTCTTTGAGATACAGTTGGGATACGCAGCAATGCTTCAAGGAATATGGAACCAGAAAGCTACTTTTCTATGACTCAATACTTTATTTTAAACAGTTATACATTCTTCTCGGTCCTAGGTAGACAGTTCAACCCTTTCATGAGGCCATGTGCAACAATGACTGCCGTCTTGTTATGTTACCTGGGCTCTGCTTCCCTTTTGTAAGTTGTATGATACTAGATACCTACCTATATATTCGAAACTATTGTTGTTGGGACTGTTTAACCTCTAGATCTCTGAGAACCTTCGAGATACAAACGATCGGATCTGTTTCGCAGCACCCTGGAATAGATACGACTACCTGATATAGCATAGTGCTCCTTATGGAACATTAGTCTGTGCTTTTAAAGACGGCGAGATAACATCAGACTTAGCGAAGATAGTCCTACTAGTTGAGTACATACCTAGGTAGGTATACTTGGTAAAACAACCTAACGTATTATTTTGCAGAGTAGTCAACAGCAGCGTCCCTTTAGCTACCTTATCGCTAACCTAGTAAGGAGACAGGAGGGATCAAGGATCACACGAAGGTAAGCAGATAACATATAATAAACGGCAATAAGCTGAAATCACTGATTCGATGCACAGATTGATGATATTGAAGCGAATACATTCGGATATTACTATTAGCTCGTCAAAAATCTGTACTAAGTAAAACGTTGTCGGAGTTTCGTATCTCGTAGACTACGGAGAAACCTTGCACGCACGCCCGTTTCACGACCTCTCACCATATATGAGTCTACTGTGGTATACCAAACCGTCGCCCAAGTACTCATAGCTGTAGCTACGATGCGTTTGTTGTATCGCCGTTGTTCAACGAAGGCGATGCGTTGGACATTAGGACGTAGTCAAAGAGATAGGAGATAGGACAGAGCAATTAGGGAAGGGCTGGAGGACTGGAGGGTCAGGGGGGATTTACTAGGTTCAGCCGCTTATCGACTCAAGTTTACAAGTGTCAAATGTCGACGACGCCAAGTGGATGTCGCTGATCTGATCGACAATCCAGAACTGCCAGAACTTCCAAATTACTACCATAAGCTGACTCGCCGCCGTTTTCGGCATGTCCTTCAAAAGTCCGTTTAGTATTTTTTGTCGTGTATTTTATCCCTATTTCCCTAATTCTTTTCGCCTCTTTCTCTTCCGAAAAACCCCCAAGGAGCCATCGATATCACGCCACATACCCTGATGTGGAATTCTAGGCCAGGAATGGATTCAAGACCGAAGTCGATCATTGTTAATCTCTGGAGTAATTTTTTTGAAACGTCCAGCACATCTGTACTTGAACGGCCCAGAACTTAAAGGGGGTCGCAGTTTAGTAGAACTGGTTGAACTACTACGTACAACTACCGGTCCTGGTCTAAGTGGCACCCGCCGATATTGCAGCCAACGTAACCAAGCATCGGACATGATAATGATACTACATAGGTAACTGCTTAGACATACCTAACCTCACAAACCTCCTATCCAGTGGAAACATGCGTGCGTAGGTCGCCTTGTTACTTCCCATTACCTTCTACACTAACTACCTAACCTACCTATTATACGTTGCTGGATTTATTGGCTTGCATGAGCTAGCATTGCAATGCAATAGCTTGTCTGGGGATTCGTCAGAGATGATCTGATTGATAAAAGAATAGAAGAAAAAAAGGATGGTACCGTTAAAAGGATGGGTACCGTGCGCGTAGGCACCCTTGTTCCCGACAGCACGGAAGTCCCGCCATCGTTCAAGATTGAACAAAGTCTGGGGACGGGGTCCACGCCCTGCGCTACCTTGGGTATCTGGGTATGTATGTACTGCAACTGCGCTACTGGAAGCGCAGATGTTGTGCTGGGGCCACAACTTGAGCTGTATCACTATCGACATCATTTTCTGGAGTTGACGACGAATTGAAAATAGGTTAGAGAAATAGTTGTTTAACGCTCACTTCGACTTGTGGTGCCATGGCATTGCTTCGTTCATATGTGTTCCGTTTAGATGCAGACATTAACTTACATGGCTGTAGGTGATTGGTTTGCCATGCCGTCTTATACACTACAGATATAACCTACAGATATACAGATATACAGATATACAGATATACAGATATACAGATATACAGATATACAGATGCGAAGTAATAGGTACCTCATAACATGTCATGTATGTAGTTAGTAGGTAGCTTCGAAGTTGAGGCTTAGGCAAGCTGCCGGTGGGACTCGTAAGCGAACGGCATTGAGATAATGCAAAGTGCAAAGACGAGATCACCCGACCCCCTTTCGCTGACGAATGAAGATCTGTGGGGGGTTAGGGGTTAGTTAGGGGTTAGGAAACAAGAGTTAGCACGGACTTCCTGCGAGTAATAATACCATTTACGTAGGTACCTCTGTACCGTGCTTTATGCATTAACTGCACGTTTCTTTGCACGGATAAGTTACGGAGCGTACTTCTGCACATTTACACGTCCACCACCGGATCTGTGTTACCGGGACTTCGGTATTTGGACCGTATCGCACCGTATCACAATCTAAAAGTCTAGGTATCGACTACCTACCTAAGTTAAATATGGCTTGTTTTGTTTTGCGCTAACCTAGTCATCTAATTTTGCGGTCTAGGACTTGTTTGCTCTAGAAATTCCAAAACCCCCTTTCTTTTCATAATGGAAACGAAACTAGTGTAAAGACTTGGAGAGGACCCTGGCGATCCCGGATCTGCTTGTCTGCCTTTTACATACCTAGGTACATGTCTGCCTTTTACATACCTAGGTACATATCTACATACCTCAGTCATCGGGGAATACTTCCCCACGTCTCTCAGGAGAATTGCGCCAGATGCGCCGGGTCAGTCTGGGTCAGTCTGATCAATACAGGGAAGTATTACCCAATCATGGTAAACAGGCGATTCCGACGGCTGGGTCTTGCCCTTTTCGAGCCTCTCTTATGTAGGTAACGGTCTGCCTCATTGTCGGTGAGTGGTTCTGCGTGATTCATTCTTCTGCATGCCCTCCTCCCGTTCATGCTTACGCCCCATCGTTGCTCTCGAGGTGGTAACTGCCTGACTGTACGAGTTACGAGTCATAGACTCCATTGTCAGCTGTCTATTGTAGACTAGAAAGCCCTTGTGTTTTCTACTTCTTCTTTTCTTCGAATACCTTCCTGGCGTTGGGCGTTTTGAAAATCTTAAATATTACTGTCCATAACCAAATTCCCAGTTTACCGTGATCGTTGTTAGTCTAAAGCGCGTAACTGGTTCAAGCACGCGTCCGGTCCTAGTTGATTGATCATTGGACATCCTATACTCCATCATGTCTCAGCTGCCAGACCAGCGGGACCTCACCAGATTCGGATATAGTTCCTCGAGCGAATCCGACGAAGCCCCGCGTAAAGCGAACACGACCAGTTCAAATAGCCAAAATCAGAAGAAGAAAAAGAAGCGCAAGCCCCCGCCTCAGCAGAGCATCAATAAGATATGGAGACGATTTACTACGAAGCAGTTTACCAAGGCGCTCTCGGTTCTACCCTTCGACCCCGTACCACTCCCAAGCACCCCGGAGCGCCCGAACGAGCTTCTGATCACAGGATATGAGCGTGCGAGAGAAGAATGCTCGCGCAAAGTAAAGAAGATCATTGCAGAATGCAAGCGTGTCAACACCCGTTATAGAGATCCAGGATTTGACCTAGTGCGTTCCAGCTCTGTCGTTCTGTCGTTCTGTCGTTCTGTCCTTCTTCTGAGACAAGGAAATCAAAACTGACAATTATCCCTGCTATTAGGATTGGGACCTTAAGTGGCTCAAGGGCAATTGTCTGAACTACTTGGGATCGCGCAAATTTGACATCTCGAACTCTCGACTTGGCACTAATACTTCTGTCCCTAAAGCTGTTAAGCGAGTGCACGAGATCTTCGAGAAACCGACATTTATGAAGAATATAAGTGCCGGTGATGTGAAGCAAGGCTCGCTCGGTGATTGTTGGCTCATTGCGAGTTTGAGCGCACTAGCCAACGTCGAGGACAGAATTAAGCGCATGTGCGTTGAATACGATACTCGTAAGTTATGAACGTGACGCATCACATTATCAAATTCTCTACTATTTTGCTGACACGATATAATAGGGATCGGAATCTATGGCTTCGTTTTCTACCGAGACGGCGAATGGATTTACTCTATTGTCGATGATAAGCTATACCTTACTTCGCCATGCTGGGATTCGCCAAGTATGCAGCGCGAGATGCTCCAGCAGATCGACCGTGAAGAGCCCGAGAAAGTATACCGTAAAACCTACCAGACCGGATCCAAGGCTTTGTTCTTCGGCCAGTGTAAAGACCAGCATGAAACCTGGGTCGCATTGGTTGAAAAGGCATATGCTAAAGCTCATGGTGATTATGGTTCGCTATCTGGCGGTTGGATCGGCGAGGGGTTGGAAGACCTCTCCGGCGGCGTCACCACTGAGCTTTTGGCATCCGATATCCTTGACGTCGATGCCTTCTGGGAGGATGAACTTTGCAAAGTGAATCAGGAGTTCCTCTTTGGTTGTTCTACCGGCCTACTCGATGGTGGATATGGCGACCGCAATGGCATCCGCGAGGGGCATGCCTACGTTGTGATGGATGCTAGAACACTCAAAAATGGTCAGCGTCTAGTAAAGCTCCGGTAAGTCTTTTTAACCGTCCAACATATTTAGCAAGCCTAATTAAAGAACCAGCAACCCTTGGGGCAAGACCCGTAAAGGCATTTGGGAGGGACCGTGGTCGGACGGCTCTAAAGAATGGAACAATGATGTTAAGGAGGAGCTGGGCCACCAATTTGGAAACGACTCCGTCTTTTGGATCACCTATGAAGATATGCTCGAGAAATATCAACACTTTGATAGGACTCGTCTATTCCGGGATCCCGACTGGAGATGCTGCCAACGATGGATTGGTGTTGAAGTTCCGTGGAAGGCCCAGTGGAACGAAAAATTCCATATCAAGCTGACGAAAGAATCTCCCTTGGTACTAGTTCTCCAGCAGCTCGACGACAGATACTACAAGGGATTGCACGGACAGTATAGCTTCAGAATGCACTTCCGAGTGCATGAACAGGGGCGCCCGGATAGCGAGGATTATATCGTCAGGTCCCATGGCAACTATCTTATGGAACGCTCCGTCTCGATCGAAATACCATACATGGAAGCCGGCAACTATTCGGTATTCATCAGTGTTGTGGCCGAGCGCGATACCGACATATCCTCTATTGAAGACGTTGTCAAGCGTGAATGTCGCAAGCGCGTGGAAAACGAGAAGTTAGCCCAAGTGGGTTATGCATACGACTTAGCCCATAGCAAGGGCGTGGCGCATCTTGAGCAGGTCGCAAAGCTCCGAAAGAAGTCAGATCAGAAGAAGGCAAGTTCCTCGCGTATGCAGGAACGTCGAAAGATGTGGGAAAAGCGACATCTAAACCGCGACATCACCAAGAAGCAGACGAAGAAGAACCAAGAGAAGCGCGATAAGTGGCGCGCAGCAGAGGATGAGAAGAGAAAAATCAAGGCAGAGGCTGAAAAGGCCAAAGCTGAAGCTGAAGCTGCTGAAAAGAAAAAGCAGGAGGAGGCAGAGGCCGCCGAGAAGAAGAAGAAAGAGGAGGCTGAGGAAGCCGAGCGTAAGAAGAAGGAGGAAGAGAGGCCTAAAGATGCAGCCGTCCAGACAGACGATATTAAGCAGAGCGAAGATAAGAGCAGCCAGACTGATGAGGCTGTAGAAGCCAAAAAGGAGGATGCTGATTCTGACTCTGCTGACAAGCCGAAGGAGGAGTCAGATGATACTCCAAAAGAAGCCGCAGCGGACGGCCAAGCAGACAGTCCAAAGGATAAGGACGAGACTGACGGCACTAAGAAGGATGAGGATAAACCCTCCAAAGAGGCACCTACAGAGGAAAAGTCTGCCGAGGAAAAAGCTACCGAAACGAAAGTTTCCGAAGAGAAAGCTGCTCAAGAGAAGACCAATTCTGCTGGCGACGCCACCCCTGCTAACACCAGTGGGCAAAAACAACAACCCCCTCCATCCCCTCAAGCCTACTCATCAGAATGCGATTCATCCGACAGTCCAGTCGAGGACTGGGAGCTACTTTACTCATCGGACGACATGTCTAAGAAGCCACGGATGGCTACAGCACCACCTGCGACCACTAATAATGACAATGTCGTAGAGAGTGACGGCGAGTCAGGCATGCCAGACCCATGGAACGCGATCTGCATCGTCGGGTTCCGGGTGTACTCGAAAGACGAGGACTTGGACCTACGCGTCGTGCTCGAGGGCGGCGACATGGCCGAGAACGGCATGGGCGAAAAGGGCCCCGCGGACATCGACAACGCGCAGATGAACGCCGGCGGCGAGCGCGCGAAGCAGAACAAAGATGTTACAGACGAAGTCGAGATCATCGACGGCGAACTCGTTCACAAGAAGAAGATCGTGCCGGATAATGACGACGAGCAGCAGAAGAAGAAGAGCGATAAAGGCCAAGAGAAGAAGAAGGATGAGGAGGAGGAGAAGAAAGACGATCAAGAGGTGAAAGATGATAGCGAGGCTAAAAAGGGGGAGGATGAGAAACATGAGGATGAAGAAGGCGAAGCAGATGTAGATGCTCACAAGTCAGACGATAAAGACGACTGTGCCAAATCAGACACCTCCGAGTCGTCCGTCGACTCGACGCCGATTCCGACACCCGATTCCGATTCGGGAGACTGTAGTCCGCAGTGCTCGGCAGCCGAAAAGACAGCCGAAAAGACAGCCGGCGACTCGTCAGCAGCCCAGCCCTCGACTTGAGAGGGAAATTACTTTCTATCCCATTCCATCCATCGTGTGTTTTCCAGCGGAACGAAATCCCCCCAGCATTGCGTATTTCTTTCAACAATTAATTAACCTAGGTACCTGGCCTACCTATTTCATCGCGTTCGGAGCATGGATACCTTTTATTTTTCTCTCTTTTCTCCCTCTCTCATATTCGCGGGCATCGACGATGGTTTTGCGATTTCCGGCTATATAAGTCGCTACGAATAGGAAGAGCCTGGTCGGTTGGCTGGCTGGTTGGTTTTGCGAATCGGATAGGGCTGTCGGGGACGGATGGCCTGGCTATTATGCATCGGTGTGGTGGTTGATGGCGACGGCAGGCGGCCGGGAGGGCTAGATGAAGTTATAGAGTCACGAAATTGTCACCTACTCAGGAAGTCTCTCTGAATATCTCTTTCCACTCCATAGGATCGACGACCTGACTCAAATAGAAATAAAGAATTTAACATCATGTCACATTGGCAGAGTTTTAACTAGTATGATATGACATGTGCTTGTTCGATAAAGCTCGTCCCTACTTGCGTAGGTATTATTATCGACGTATACGCTTCCTCTAAGCTGCCCAATAGGGGTGCTATCTCTATAGGCTCTAACAGCGTCATGCGGCGTAGTTTCAGCTGCATAAATCACGACCGTCCAACGGTAATGAATACCCTCTCACTAATATATGTCCCAGCGAATCAACCATCCACATCGTGGAATGCACCGTCAGCATCATCCGACGGTAACCTCTGGGCCTCGCTAGCAATGCGACGCCTCCTCTCGACCCTACGCCTCCAGGGTCCGTAGGCAAGGACGGAGCCGACACCGACGACGAGAAATAGTCCGCAGATAGAACCGCCGATGATCTCGAAGTGATCGCTAATCTCTCCAAGGCCGTCCCAGAAGGAGCCCTCGGGCTCGGCGACATGCTGCACAAGCGACAGGACCTGGATGATGCCGATGAATGCTGAAACGACGACCGTGATGCCCGTCAGTACGATTGAGTAGTACAGGATGGCGACTGTATCACGCGCGAATGCCTTGTATGAGTATAGCGCCATCATGAGGGCTCCGTCCGTCGTGTCTAGCATGCACATTCCCGCTAATAGTTCCGGCGGACGTTAGCGAATGTGAATTATAACCCAATCATTTTTTATCATCCCCTCTCCCGATTTACTTGTGAAGAGCGCAAGAATGAGAGCATACCTGTGAACAAGAGCGGGAATATGAGAATAACCCAAAGACTTGTCCCTTGCGCTCCTTGGATGCTCGCGATGCCCAAGATGGCGATCTCAGAGCTTGTGTCGAATCCGAGTCCAAACAAGACACCAAGAGGATACATCTAGCCACGCCCGGTCAGTGAATTATTATTTTCAAAAGTATATATATAGTAAGGTGCTTGAGTTACGAATGCACAATGAATGGGATGTGTTGCGCTTAAGGGGTCAACGGCAGAAAGGGGGTCGATAGAGAAAAGGGGGGGGGGGGGGTGCAAAGATCGCGAACAAAACTATCTGCGCATACTTTCCACGGCCGGTCGACAATGCGAAATAACCTCCGGAACACAGTAGCGAGAAACCCAGCGCCCTCGAGCTGCAAGTTAGTCGCAGCCTGATCCTCGTCCGCTCCGTCTTCCTCCGAGCGATGCGGGTCGGCCTCGCGGAGGACACACCGGAGACGGCACACAAGGCGATACAGGACCCAGCCGTTGCCAAGACACAGCAGGAGGAGGAACGCAGCGCTGACGCTAGTGCCTACGATCCCGCCGACGTACTGGAAGTTGTCGAAACGGTCGCGTAGGGCGCCGCTCGTGGCCGCCACGACGATGCAGGTAACAATGACGATGGTGGAGTGGCCCAGACTGAAGAACGTGCCTACGGTCACGGGACGCTGTCCTGATGCGATCAGCCGCCGGGTCATCAGGTCGATGGCGCTGATGTGGTCGGCGTCGAGGGCGTGTCGTAGCCCTAGCGTGTATGATAGGACTGCTGGAGTGATCATGGTTGGGTAGTAGTGCAGTACTACGCCGACCGCCGCCCAGATGACCATGTTAGCGAATACCAGCGCCCCGATGATTTGTACCACGGGCAATGGGAGAGCCTTCAGCCGGCCCGGGAGCGGAAGGGCGCATTGCGAAGATAGTCGTGGCATCTCTTCTGTCTACCTGGACAGGGTCGCCTAGACAGGGTCTTTGTCTATTATTAAAGATCTTAGTCGTAGTTAGAGGCTTGATATCGAGTAGAAGAGATAGCCCATAAACTCTCCCAGAGAACATTGATATCCCAACAACAACAACTACTACTACTACTACTACTACTACAACAACTATTTCTCGATATCAAGTGTTCAACTCCTCGTGGTATCGCAGAGCAAGAGTATATAATACCAAGGCAAAAGCAGAAAAGTAATCATCACAAGCTCAAGCTCAAGCTCAAGCTCAAGCTCGCCCCCGCACCCGCCAAGAAACGGGATATGAATAATAGAACGTGCTGCATGGTGCAGTGTGCCCCGCGTGCGGTATAAGATAGACGCTTGATCCAGGATGCCGGTGCTAGCCCTAACCATCCCGGGCCCGATCTGGCAAAGGCCTGCCTTGGTATTGTACATACTATAATATGTAATAACTAACCTAGGTTAGTAATGTAATAACTATGCTATAATATGCAACTTTCTATTCCGGCGTTGGCCGAGGCTGATAAGATAAAAGTTTAAATTGATTACTGTTATTTTTTGTTATTATTACTCAATGGCTGGCTGCACTTATATTATCACCACTTTATAAAAAAAAAAAAAAGTTTTTTTTAGTATAAAATCAAATTTCGTTGTCTTTCGTCCTGTCATCGATGGGCACCCTTAAAGGTAGACTAAAGACGATATGCTACAGATACAACGCAATCTAGGGTTCTTCGCGTGGCCAATCTTACGCCTATCAAACCATAAGTAGGTACCTACTAGTACCACTATCACCATTGCATGCACACAAATGTGACGTACGTGATTGAGTCACCAAGTAGTATTTAGATCGAACAGCGTAGCATGTTTAATATATAGGGAAAATCTCGAGAAATTGCACCCCTTCAGTCGTAACTCGAACCTTTTGAATATCTGTCCTATATACCTAGTTTCCCTCTTAGGCATGGATAGAAAAGTCATATACAGCTTGAGCGTTTTGATAGTTGAGGCGTAATGCTCTAACTCGATCTAGTTCATTATCATGATCTCGTTCCGGTATTTAAGGATGAATGCCCCGTGTATCGAATAACGCCATCCATGAAAACCCCCATGTTATGATGATGATGATGATGATGATGATATAGTAAGAGGAAATGGTTCGTAATCGTCTCGTATGCCGACGTTGTATGGTGGTCGGGACAAAGCTAACCTTTGAAGCTAGCTCGTGGGCGTGGCTGTACCTAAGTGGGTGGGTGATTGTGTGTTTATGACCATGCGAACTTGAGCCGCGTATAGAATTGGGATGTGGTGTCGTTATATTGGTACTGCCGTAGCGCTTTCTACTTGATTTATGCCAAAAATATCCAAAATATTCCGAATTCGAGAACTAGGCGTGGGTGTCGGGATATTCCACGAAACAATTGCTTCTCCTCGAGCCTTCACCGCTTCACTGCGTGATGTAGCATTTGGAAAACACAACCATGCCTTCTGATGATATCCGAAATCTTTCTCTTGGCCAGCCCAGCCGATGAACACGCTGTGTTAATGCTCTAGCGTGTACCCGCCTCCTCCAAAATTCTCCTTCTGCTAGATAATGTGTCGATAGCTGCTAATGGCCCCATTTGTGTAGTATTGGGTGTTGGCTAATTCCCTCTATCTTAACTGAATATCGTGCTAGTATAGCGTGACCGACCGACTTAATATTTTCTAGTTGGGAAGGAGAAAGGTCGAAACGAAGTCGTTGGGACTCGATATATGTTTACAGCCTTGATAGTGTGTAGCAGGAAGAGCACTTCGCTCATGTTCGGAAAATATCTAGTGAGTTAGTGGCCCTATTAGCATAATAAGAGGTGAGGGCTCGTAGAATAGTTACTCAAGTTTGGCGTTAAAGATACCACGCCCCGAGAGCTGGTAAATTACCATATCAGGGCAGTTCAATACCTTTAAGCCATACAAAAGCCTCAAGGATGAATAATTATCTGATAATTATCTGAGGTGCAGATCTTATATCACTTCCCGTAATCTGTCCGAATAGCACGGTTCTGGTTAGGTAGGTAGTTTTAGCGATGGCTATGTCTTTATCTTTGTAGGATACCTTCATCATTCGTCGCTACTAATAACTTCGTCTTCCTTGGCTTTTGGCAACACGAAATGTGTTGGGATGCTAGGTTTATGTGTTAGCTGAGCTAGCTATCGTCACCATATTGGCTTTACTACACGAACAACTTCAACAGAGGCCGAGCGCTCGTCGATCTGGGTTAATTAAGGAGGGCGACGTAGACCATTTACTTCCTCTGGCTGGAGCGACATCTCGTTCTACGAGGATACATCCTGTTGGGATAACGTCCCTGAGTGTTGTTGACGGTTCCTAACCCTTTGTATTAGAGGGTTTTGTGCTTTGGGGGGGAGAAGGGGGTAATTCATTGCTCATGCCACAGGTATCGAGCCCTTGCTTACCTGAGCTCGCCAGTTGTGAACTCCCGAAATATTGCTAGCTCATGAAAAGCACTCGCTAAGGTCTGTACTTGTGCCTCCCTCGGATTCGTCATCGCTAGCTCAAGGTCGACCATGAAGCTTGCTCGGACTGTAAATTGGGAATCATATCGTTGTCCTATTTTTCTCATGTCATTTAGGATAGTATTTGCCTCGGGGGCAGATAAAAATCCGTTTCGCAAGGCCATGCTTAGGAGCCCAAGCATAGTCACCTCGGCTACCTGGAACGAGCCGTCTATTCTGAAAATCAGTATTCCATCCAGAAACAAGAGGCGTTCGTCATTTCTGAGAAATACACTCCATAAATATGGATTGGTGTGATACATGCATGTTCGCAAATGCATAATTAAGTAATGTGAAGGAGCGGGCACAAGGAGACAGCATCACATACTGAGGAGAAGTTAGTATCTTCATGAACAATTCGAGACACAAGCTCCGTAGGGGACGTCAGATTCCCGAGGTATAAGAGAGCCTGCGTTACGTACCACATATTCTCGTAGCCCGTCATGCAAAGCATGAAGTAGAACCAACACTCCGGGTTTCGCAGCTTACCAGAACGCATGGTCTCGCAGAGCATTGCGTTTGATAAATATAGGAGAGCGATATGCCACAACGTTGACGAGCACGCATTGGAGAAATTAATGCAATAAATGAGAGCAAGTCGCTTCAGCTGATTTACCGAGGATTCGTGTATGTCTTTTATAGCAGCCGTAGTCGTAAGGTGCTTCATCTTTAGTTCCTTGTTGGCAGACTGTTGTAGGAATGGCCACAACAGTTCCATCACGGTACAATGGTAGTAGAGACTACGCCGAGTTTATGTTAGAATGATGAGGTGGGCTGGAGCGAGCATTCAAGAAGCCGAAATAAATCATTTCTGGCCTGGAATGATCATATTCGGCAAGGGGACCTTACTGTAACATCAAGTTGGAATGCCGGTTACGTCTTCCACGCGACAGTCCAAGGGGAAGCGATGCTGCCCATTCGAACATCCTTCGATACATCTGTTCTGCGAATTCAACCGTCGCTCGGGCAGCAGGAACGGTATTACTTGTCCCGAAATAGGCCCAGATAATTTCGTGAACGATCAAATTGAACTTACACATCGCTTTGAAGGCCTCGCTGACTTGGGCCGACACAAGAGTCCGCTGATGTGGATATGTATAGTTTGTGTATCCATGAGTCTCAAAGTACTGTCCCGGCATAGGGAGTAGGGGTGGGGTCTCGATCTCTGCTCGATGTAGATGCAAGGAACGTATGCTAAGATTATGTGGCCATGAGTATTTGCTAGAACAGATATATCGGAAGCAGGTTGTAGATCTGGGCGGTAAGTCCAACTCACCAAGCGCACGAGAATATACCCCACGAGGTGTGACTTGCAGCTCTGAGCCAATCTTGGTGATGATCCAACCAGGTTAGGGCCGATGCGTTCTCGGAACCCACCCCAAAGACTGCCGCGCTCGGGGTTAGCATAGCCAATGATTTGCTTCGTCTAGTGCATAAGACCACAAGGACATGGGTATCTTAGTGACGTCGCCGCCGCCGCACCGAGTTACGTTCCGGAAGTTGACTTACGGCCCATACGTTTCCCCATTTGAATGCCTTCCTCAAGGCATTGGTTCGCAAAATCATCACGGCCTCGAGAGGCTGATGTACTATTCAGAAATTGAGCAGCTGCCGCCGCAGTCAGCGTGTTAGTGAACTTTTCCACTTGCCATAATCTCTCAGCTTCCGACTCGAAAGCAATGCTATAGGCCGCTGCCTCTGGTTGTAAACTCGAATACGATTGCTAGGTCGCGTCAGCAACCGATCGTAATAATAGCTCACCGTACTTGTTGGACGGCCCGTATCTAGATCAAGACTTACGCAGGTCCACCCCAGTAGGGCATTCATGAGTAGGGTAGAGCAGAAGTGAGTCTTCCCCTGTATACAATCATTCAAGAACAAATCGGCATCAAATAGGGGACACCATGGATGGTCAATCTCCAAGTATAACGAGATCAAGTTTGCAGCTAACTCGTTCGTAATAGGTACGGTGGTCCAGCTCTGGAAGTTCACACTCTTCAGTCGGTCGTCAACAATCGTGTGCATCGATTGCAATGGCTCAAAGTTTCCTATTTCATGGTCACTCGCGTCTAATACAGTTGGCGTCACCCCACTTCTAATGCCGCCCTCGCTCGGGCCGGCAGGGACGCTCGAGGATGATGGCATGTCTCCTTGTCCGGTGCTGCGAACGCACGTTAGCATCGTGGTGGCGAGGTTATAGGGTCCGTAAGGTATGGTATCCACAAACCCAACCGTAAGGGAAGCATACAAGCTAGGCGCTCTTGGCGGTTCAAGAATAGCTGGGCGCAATAGATCGGCTAGGTTAATAAATGCAATCTCAACCGGAATCAACATCGGGTAGGCGGTTGGACATCGCATCATGAGTTCGTATTCGGGCGTCTGTTGGGTCTCGGGTATGAGGCCTGCCATTAGCTGCCGATTGGATAGCTTCACAGGCAGAAGAGGATCGTCCTCGAGGTCTTTTTTTACGGATGCTAAAATATCGGAAGTGTCGCTCGCTCCCTCGGCTAGATTCCTGGTAGATTTTAGTCGTCTTAAAATGTCTAGAGACACGGCGTCAGGGGCCGATTCAAGCAAATCGAATATCTCTAGCATGTCTTCCGTGGATCTCCTGAGGGATTCGACCTCCCGCTTCAGAGCCATGAAAGGGGTCTCATCGCTGCTGGCGGTGACGAAGTTGCATTCCACGCCAGCCTTGCTGCAGGCCGTGCAGGCAGGTCTTTTCCCATCACACTAACAGGACACGGGTCAGTGACTCGAAGGGATCGACACGACCGCCTTGGGGGACAAAAGGCAGAAGGTGAGGTACTTACACGAATCTTCTTGAGACGGCAGTTATTGCAGGCAGCCTTGGAAACTGTACGTTTCTTGACGGGCGGACCGGTCTCCTTCTGAAAAGTAGATTCCGGTGCCTTGGCCTGAGAGCCGGGAGGCATGGGCGCCGGAAGTAGGCGTTTGTAATTTTCGGACATTGGGTTCCTACAAGTCTTTTTCGACTTACAGACTCCATAACAAACTTCATGCCTACCTCACGTCGAAATCGGACATTTTGGCCCGGATGTTCTGCAACGTTAAGAATTGGATCTATAAAGAGAGGAGTCCTGGAAGCCTCCCTCGACATCGGAAACGATAGATCGAGTGTAGCCAATCATACCTGTGGGATGGTTCGGGCCTCACTCCGTGAAGCTTGGGGATCTAATCTCTCTCAGACCCGTTGCGCCTGGCGTGGTCCGGCCTCGATTAAGCGTAATTGATAACTTGAGAGAACAAGTTAGGTATAAACTATCCTAGGGAATTGTAGCCAGTGTCAACATCCGTCAATCATCTGGCGGAGGCTTTAGATTGGAACGCAGCGTAGTCCCGGTTATACCACGTAACACGCAGCGCATCATTGGTGATGCAAAAGGATGTGTAAATTGTATTGAGTACCTATCGACGTTCCTAAGCTGAAAGTGTCTAAGCCTATCTTAGGTAGTTACTCAGCCCGGATAGAGAGGTACAAGTGCTGGTATTTTTTATTTTTATTTTTATTTTTTGCTTGCAGGCAAGTTAAAGACAATAAAAAGAGAGCATGTGTGAGTGATCCCAGGGAGGGAAACTTAGATCGGGTCCCATTTTCTCATGTCGAACAGTAGCTAACTAAACTACTATTGGTTAGACCTACACTGCCAAGAGTCGCACAAGCTCTCCCAATGGTCAGGTTGACTAGACTTGCAGGGAGAATCTGACCAATCAGATGTGTCTGGAGCGCGCTCCGAGCCAATCAACTATCTTTCTCAACAACTATTATCCCATTTTGGGATGTATGGTATGTACCATACATAGACCTCATGAGACCTCATGGGACTTGAATCATTTTAAGATCGCTTCATTCATCTTAAAGCAACATGACTATACTTTGAGTCTACTTGAAGCTCCTTTATGCCTACCTATATTAGAACAACACCACATAGTTAGTAGAATTCGTCATTAGCAACAACTTGTGTAACTCTCGTTTATGAGAACATTTCCTGGTAGAGCAGAAAGTATAGGTACTTATATCAGCCAGCGGGGGGGGGGGGGGGGGGGGGGGGGGGGCGGGGGGGGGGGGGGGGGGGGGGGGCGGGGGGGGGGGGGGCGGCGGGCGGGGGGGGGGGGGGGC